ATGTCGCAGAGGGGAGACGTCATACAAAGTGCAAGATGTTCTCCTTGTCCATGTAGTGATTCTTGGGCGTAGTCCCAGGAGAGGGACACTCAGGCCTGCAAGAAAGCACTAGCAAGGACTGAGCCACAGGGCCTGGGCTGCCGGGCCTGGGCCCAGAGGCAGAAAAATGTGCTCCCCTTATTTATATTAGCAAAGCCGGGTCCCAGGCTGGGCAGGAACTCACATGGCATGAAGGGCCCCCCAGTTACCACCCCCAGACAGGGACACTGGAGGCTCTAGTCTGACTTGGGGGTATCCCTGAGCTTCTCCCTGCTCCTCTCCCTGCCTCTCTGTCCCTCCATTTCTCTGTCTGTTGGACTCACTTCCTGTCAGTCTCTCTCCCGTGCACACGGCTGACACCCCCTCTTGGAGCTTGCTGGGGATTGTCATGGCAACCCTCCAGCAAAATTATCCAAACACTTCTATGCTCCCAGTCGCACCAGACCAAGTGCTAATTCCTTGTGAGGCAGAAGCAGTTGGTAGGGCTGGAGTCACAGACTTCGTGTGCAGGCCCCCTCGGGCTGAAGGGGCTCTGGGACTGAGGCGGCGGGGCCAGGAGGCAGGACTCCTGGCAAAGGCCCCCTCACTTGCCTGCTGCAGACATGGTGTCTGTGGCTCACCCTTTCCCCTTATGCCACATTCACATTAGCATTTCTCACACACACACACACACACACACACACACACACACGCACATCAGCATTTCACACACACACACACACACACACACGCACGCACGTCAGCTGAGTACAGATTGACCCAACAACTACTTCTGGAATAGCCATCCCCCCTTGGCACTTGGAACTGAGATCCACTCGGGAGAGATGCCTGGGTGTGGGGGATTAGCTGAGCCCAAGGGGGTGCATGTTATCATGAAGCTGGACACCTGGCACTCACCTCCTTTCCTGCTTTCACCTCTCTGGACAGGGTGGGGGGAGCCTCCCTTCAGGGAAGCTGAGAGGAGAGACCTAGGGTTCCTTCTTCCCAAGCCTGCAATTTGGGGATCTAGAGGAGCCCCTTTGTGTACATAAGAAGCCTGGTGGGGATGTTATGGACCCCGCCTGGGGTCCAGGAGCTGGAGGGGACGGAGGAGGGAGGAGCAGAGTGGGGCTCCAGGAGCCAGCACTGGTGGGGGCGCTGCTGCAAGGCAGTGAGGGAGACCGAGTCCAGCGGTGAGCACAGACCACAGCAATGGGAACAAACAAAAGAGAAACCAACCAAACAGACCAGGAAGGACCAGAGGCTAGAGGGACTGAGGTGACCTTAATGCGAATGACAGGGAAGGCCACTCTGAGAGCAGAGTGAGCTGAGGCCTCGCTAGGGCAAGAGACATGTGTCTTGCCCCAGGCTTTGTAACAAGGTCAGTAGAATGAGGCTGGCTCCACTATGGATCCCATTCTAATGTCTTCCTCCTTCTAGAAACATCCTTTTCTTGGGTTCTGTGGTTTTCTCCTATGGACATTCTTTGCGTCTTTGGTGGGCTCTTCTCCCTACCAGTGTTGGCTGCACCCATCCATCTCAGCCTAGAAGGTGCCTTTCACTCACTCCTTCTGTACCCGATGACCCCCAAACTGCCACCTCCATCCCTTACCTCTCCCCTTGGTTGTCCTGCTGGGCCTCTCCCCTTGGTTGTCTAATAGTTCTCTTGGCTGGGACAATGCCTAGTCAACATATGGAGACCCCAAATTAGTATTTTGCACAGCTGATTGCTCTCTCATACAACAGCTCTGAGAAAAGTGTTGGTGACTGATAAATAGCTCAGTTCTACTGGGTCTCTTGGGGACTCAGGCTAATGGCAGCACTGCTCTCTAACACAAAGCTTTCAGGGCCTCTGCCCTTCACTCTTCCAGCCAAAGTGAGGAGACAAGCACAGAAGTCTAGGGCAGGGAACTTCCCTTAAGCAAGAGCGGCAGAAAACCTATCACTTCTGCTCACACCTCATAAATGAGTTTAGATCCAATGACCTAATGACCCAGTGACTCATCTAGCTGCAAGAGAAGCTGGAAAACATGACCCAGCTGGTCTCCACCACCGTCCCATCCTCCAGAATGGTGAGGACTTCCCCGCCATGCCCTGGTAGCACATGCCCTGCAGGTGATTCCTCCTCCTGTGTCCCAGGCCCTTGGCTTTGCCCTTTTGGGGAAATCCTTATCTATCATCCTCCACCACCACTCAACAGGTGTTGAAAGTCTGTCATCCTTGGGCACTTGTTTGGGCTTGAACAATCATGGGCTTTTGAAGTCCAGCCTTGCAATTTTGTTGGTAATAATTCCTTCAAAAACTTAGTAGGCTTCAGGGCTATCTTCTTCTAGTCAGTTCTGTGTGCCAGAAACCACACCCAAACCTTTCTTGACTAGGTTATTAAGTCTGTCTTGCTTGCCCAACCTATGTCTTTCTCCCTTTAAATGAAAGTTACTCCAAGGACATCTGCAATAATAGGCCTGGGTGGCAAGGCAACCCCCCTAATATTATCCTTTGCTACCGGGGTGATTGCTTTGTTTGACTTACTGTGTGGACTACCAGACAGACTTCGGAGAAGGCCCTGGGCCTTGAAGTCTGCTCTTCTACCCTTTGGGCAAAACCAATTGGTTTTTACAACCCTAAGGACAGCAGTTTCCCAGCCATCTCTTTTTTGTAATCTCTTGGATAAAGCGGCATTAAAGAGCCAACACATACCAATTTTTTTTTTGGCTCTTTCCAACCATTTTTCTAGCATTGTAGGCTCAGTAGGCTTATTTTCCAAAGGATCTCAAGTAATGCGTTTAATAAAATGTCCCTGCGTGACATGGGTCCCTGCGTGACATGGGTCCCTGGCTCTCCATCCTTCCATGGGTTTCTCTGTTACTCATCACCTGTTGAAGCTCAGGCCACATATTTTAAGGGATTGTTTTCATAGCACCTTCCCTTTCCTGGTACCAGTTAGAGTATTACCAAGTGGCTATTTGAAGGAACCCCCTCATACAGTGGCCTTGTGATTACAGACATTCATTCCTCTCCCAGATAGTGATACTGCAGTTCTGGTATGAGCGCTCAGGCTCAGCCAGTGAGTTTTAGAGGCCAGCAGAGTCCTCAGTGGCCCTCCCTCTTCTCAGCCTTCTCTTGTCCACATTTCTCTGACAGTCAACGGCACTCCGTGGAACACAGGCTCAGGCTGATAGGCAGATGTCAGCCTTGCTCCTCACCCTCTATTCCACCAGCAGGTCCCCTCAGTTCTATCTCCAGACAAATCCCAAATCTGCCCATTTCCCTACAGCTCCAGTGCCTGCACCTTCCCCTGTGTTTTCAGAGTCTGGTATCTGAGGACACGTTGAAGTCTTCTATTGATAGGTGGGCTCCGTGCGCTCTCATCGCCGTCTGTTCTACACAAGGCCGTCAGACGAAACTTGTAAACACGTAACTTAGACTATGGAGCTCCCCTGCTGAACACCCCCAATGCCTTCCCATGGCCCTTAGAATGAAATGCCCGCCCCTGATGTGACCCTCAGGGCTTTCCAGAACTGGGCTCCTTCTCTGGCCCCTCACCTTCTCTGCTCTAGCCACAAGAAACGCTCCCTGCCGCTTGGGCCCAAGACTCCTTTGTCCTCCCCTGGGCGAAGAGGTTCCAGCGAGAGTGAGGAGAGTGAGCACTTGGACTCCCTGACTTTGAATCTCAGCTCCGCTGCTCACTGGGGGTGGCCTCTCCATCCCTTACCAGCGGCCTACTCACCCACTCTCTCTGTGCCTCCACTTTCTTGTACCTGAAATGGGCAGAATGTAGTGGCCTCGCAGGGCTGATGTGAAAATTAAAGGGGGATAATACGTGCAGGACAAAGCTCACTGGCTGGCTTGGAGTCACCTCCTCAGAGGGTGGCCGTTTTATTATTATTGTTGTTAGTGCCCAGTTCAAGTGACATGCTTCTCAGCGTGGATGGGGGTGCGGCGGGGCCCTGGACTGGGGGTGGAGGAGACAAACCTGCAGAAGTCAGCTAGGGAAGGGAAGCACCTAAATGGAATACGCTGGGTGTGTGTTTGTATTCGTGGGTGCCTGGATGTGTGGGTGCCTGGGTGTGTGGGTGCCTGGGTGTGTGGGTGCCTGGATGTGTGGGTGCCTGGATGTGTGGGTGCCTGGATGTGTGGGTGTGACTGGGGAGGGGGAGGTGTGTGGCAAGGATCCAGAGACGCCACCAACCCCTCTTCGGAGCTCCGTGCTGAGGAGCCAGGTGCCCTGGCGCTCCGGCTGCAGGGAGAGCTGGCAGCGGCCTCTGCCAGCCTGCGCGCGCGCTCTGCCCGCGGAACACCGGGCGTCCTGCTGGTGTATTTCTGCCATAGGATCGGGGAGGAGGGACCTGCGCTCCCAGGGCCACCCACCAGGCTTGCTGCCGACTTGGGGATCCCGGGTGGGGCAGTGACCCCCGGGTCTGGCCAACCCTCGGGCCCCCCCGGCTCCGCCGGCCCCCACCCCTGCCTCGCCGCGCGCTCGGGGGCCTCGGGCTCCCCGGGGGCCCCGCGGGCCGCGCCCGCCTTCCGGAGCCGGCTCGGCTGGGGGCGGGCGGCGCTGGGGAAGCGCCGCTACTTTCCCAGAGCGGCGGGGCGACGTCAGGCGGAAGGGCGCGGGGCGCTCGCGCTTTAAATGGCATTCGCTGTCATCCGAGCCCACAGCCGTGTGGGCAGGAGCGGGCTATATAAGCGGAGGGCCGGGCCGCCGCCGGGCAGACGCCGACCGCAGCGGCAGCGAGCACCTCGGCGCGCGGCGGAGCGGCCCCCCGCGACCCCCCGAGCCCGGCGCCCCCCGACGGGCTCCCGCGCCCGCCCTCCCGAGGAGCCGCGACCCGGGCCCGCGAGGGCCGCCGCCACCCCGCAGCAGTTTTGGATCCCACGCCCGGCGACCCCCAGGCTGCCGCCTCCCGGGGGCCCCGGCGCAGCGGCCGCCCCCGGAGAGCCCCGCCGCCCCGCCGCCCGGCCCCGAGGACGCCGGCGGCGCCATGGCCGCCGCCAAGCCCGGCGAGCTGATGGGCATCTGCTCCAGCTACCAGGCGGTGATGCCGCACTTCGTGTGCCTGGCCGACGAGTTCCCGCAGCCCGTGCGGCCCGCCAAGCTGCCCAAGGGCAAGGGCCGGCTGCGGCGGCCGCGCCAGTCCCGCTTCAAGACGCAGCCGGTGACCTTCGACGAGATCCAGGAGGTGGAGGAGGAGGGGGTGTCCCCCATGGAGGAGGAGAAGGCCAAGAAGTCGTTCCTGCAGAGCCTGGAGTGCCTGCGCCGCAGCACGCAGAGCCTGTCGCTGCAGCGGGAGCAGCTCAGCAGCTGCAAACTGAGGAACAGCCTGGACTCCAGCGACTCGGACTCGGCCCTGTGAGGGGCGCCGCCCGCGGCGGGCACTCGCGCGCCTCCGCGCCCGCCGGGGGGCCAGCGCGCGACCCCGAGAGGGCCCGCGCCCCGCGCCCAGGGGCCCCCGAGGACCCCCCGAGGACCCCCGAGGACCCCCGAGGGCCGGGGACCGCCGCCCTCCGCGCGCTTGGACTCTCGCCTGGCTGCGACCCGCTGGGGCGCCCCGCGCTGCGCTCACCCGGGGTCGGGGCGCGCGCGCGCGCGGGGGCCAGGGGTGGGGCCGCTGTCTTTGCCCTTGTAAATGTTTATTTTTTAACCTTTCCCCGTACGAACTCGGCCGTGAGTGTGAGTGGGGAGGCGCGCCCGTGCGGAGTCGCCCGGGATCGCCAGAGCTTTCTGGAAAGCCGCTCCACGCCCCTGTCCGATGGTTTGCAACTCCGATTTTGCACACCGCTCTCCACCGTGCCCACCCCCACCCCCAGCGCACACCCGTTCACACTCACGCCAGCACACTCGCTGAACACTTTTATAATTGTTAGGCGCGGCCGATGGGACTTGGGGCGCAGCGCAGCTATCGCTGCGGCCGGAGGATGGATATTTATTTTTGCACCGAGGTGGCTGCCCAAGTTTATTTAACGATCTTTTTACCTGGATATGTCTGTGAGGCTCCCAAACGGAGACAAATAAAATCAGTATATTTACACAGTGCATTTCTCCAGGCTCTTGACTTCTTACCCCTTTGGGGTGCAGTCTCCCAAGAGTAGGAGAGCAAGGGAAGGCTGTGGTTGGAGTGGGGGCCGGGAATCCCGCGTGGGGGACCCTCCACCAGCTTTAGTCTCCGGAACCAGGTCGGGTCCCAGGTGCACGGGCCCATCACGCCTCCCAAGTGGATCCAAACCCGGCGCAGAGAGCTGCTGCGTCCTGTTCTGTTCCCCATCCTCGGCATCCAGGACAGAGCGACGCAGCCGGCCAGGCGAGGGGCGGAGGGCACCTCCTTTGATGCCGCTGACCTCTCAGGAGGCCGGGACCATCTCTCTGCGCCCACCGCAGAAGCCCCCACTCGCTTCCAGCCCTTTCCAGGAGGCGCGTGGGGAGAGGCCGGAGCCAGCAGAGCGACACCCAGGAGAGGACGTTACGGTGGCGGGACCCTGGGGCGCGCTGGGCGGGAGCCTGGGCGCGGGCGCACGGGCGCAGCGGGGGCGCACAGGGCCTATTTGGGTTCTTCGGGCCCTTTCTCCAGGCCCTCCCGTTATCCCCTTCCCGTTATCCGCAGGGAGAGGGGGCGTCGTCGGGTCGGAGTCTGGAGAGCGTCGGGGTGCCCGCAGCGCCATCCCGCCCTTTTGTCTCGGGAGGAGAAAGCGAGTCCCGCAGCGGGAGGGAGGCGCGGGAGAGGGGCGGGCGCGGTCTCCTTCCAGCGCCGGCGCTGTCTGCCCAGTGCGCTCCTGCAGCTGCCCCGCGGCCCCGTCTACGTCCTCGCCCCCTGGGCACCCGCAGCAGGTGGAGAGGTGTTAACCAGCATTCTGCAGAGAGGGGCGCATGGGGCGGGTGGGGCGGGTGGGGAGGGTTCCCACCCTTGGGCCCCCACAGTCCACCCCTGCGGCGTGACCCCAAGGGTGCGCCTCCACGGGCTTTGCACCGTCGTTGGGAGACAAGCCGGGCGCCCGGGGCGCGCAGACGCCGCCCTCGGGGCCGGGCCCTGAGCTCGGGTGCCCTCTGGCGGCCGGGGCTGGGGCTCGGCGCACCCGAATGCACCTTTGCCCTCGGTACTGCGTGGAGCGCAGTTGGCCCGGGACCTGGCAGGCAAATGAGAGAGCAAAGGACAAGAAGCAAAGAAGCAAAAATAAAACCCACAGGGCCTTAAAGAATGTCCTCCCCACCGACTCAGAGACAGGAGGACGCGCTCGCGCCTGGGGGCCTGGGGTCTTTGGCCCTGCCCTACCGCCTGGGATCACAGTGGCCACTCAGTCTAGGGGGTCAGTTGCATGGTGGTGGGGGTTCAGGGCAGGAGACCCTTAGCTGCAAAGTGCTCAGCTCAGCGAGGCACGGCTCTGAGGACGCCTGTGCTCCTGTGTCTGCAGCTGCCATGGCTAGGCTGGTGGGGTTCAAGAGGATGCTGAAGTCCTTGTCTTCCCTACCGCACCTCTGTTCTCCTCTCTCACCCCAACCAATGTCCCCCCATCCTGTCGTACATCTTTAGCACTAGCTCCTGTCTCTACTTTTCAAAATTGAGGTGCCCACCCTCCTGGTGAGGTTCACACGTTCCAGGCTTGGCTGGGGCATCTCCCTTCTGGGAACCAGCTTGATGCTTCCTCTGACTGGAGACCCTCCTTCTCCTGCCCCCCTTCAGCTCTTACCCCGGCTCAAGGCCCCACCTGAAGGGTCACTTTGGGTCACCTGGTCAATATCTGGGGGTGGCTGTAGGAAACACATCCCATCATCCCTGTTCCCTGTTCAGCTGCAGGCAGGGCCGGGCACCCAGAGGTGTTTGATGGGTTAAAATGAATCAGGGGGTAGTGAGGATCTCATTACCCTGAGAGCAATGAGTCAGTATCTTGGAGGGTGCGCCCCCATACTTCTGTGTAATTTCTCTTACAAGATGGGTTTGTGTTCTACATACTGTTTTTCAATCGGCTTTTTTGCCTATTTGGATTTGTGTTTAATACCAGTATGTGTGGACCGACATGACAGGTTTTATAAAATCCTGCTGAATAGATACATTTAATTGAATAAATTCTCCAGTCATTGCTAAAAGGGACGTCCTTTTGTCCCACTTTCTTGGTTTTGCCTATAACTGGCATTTAGTTTGTAGGGCTGGCTCTGGGGAGGAGCGTGGACAAGGCAGTGACCCAGGGAGGGGCTGGGGTGGGGTGAAGGGAGGTTGGAGCAGGTACCAAGGTAGAGGGGACAGGCAGCGTCTGGGTGCCCTGGCCCCTGGCTACCCTGGGGGTGCTTTTGGTTCTGAACATCTCTGCACTGCACAGAGAAAGAGGAGGGACGTGGGAGGGGGCACCTCTGAGGTCCCTCTGGGCCTCTGCGCCTCCCTGTGGCTTGAAGGCTTTCCAAGGCAGCTTATCTTTCTAGAGGCACCTGGGCTGGGAGGGTAAATGGTGCCTCCCAGCAGGGAGGCTGTAGTGAGGGAGGAAGAGAGCATGAGAGCCAGAAAGATGGAGAGGAAGGAGGCTTCTTGGGGAGACAGAGAACTCAGAGACGAGAGATGGGGCGGGGGGATGGGCATTGGAAATAGGAAAAAAAAAAGTCAGGGTGAGGACTCCTTCCAGGAGCTGTGGGGCAGGCATGTGTCTGGGGTGGGTGGCAGCCGGCCCAGCTGTCTGGATTTGCAGACTTGTCCCAAGAGTCACCTCCTTCCTTCCCTTTCCGCCCTGGGCCTCAGCCCATAGTCCTGGCCGGGGTGACAGTTTTCAAATAAGCAGGAGCCCAGAGGAGGTAACAAGTGGCCTTCCCGGCCCTGGCTAGCAACCTCTTCTAAATATTTCTCTTTGGCCCTAGGGGAGATATTTATCAGGGTGTTTCTTGGCCACTTTAAAAGCCAGCTTGGCCTGCACAGCCCACTGTGTGCCAATTCTGGGCCTGCTTGGTGTGGGCTTAAGAGGGAAGGGCTGTCTGCAATCCTAGGAAATTGGGGTCAGCTGTGGGCTTGGGGGGGGCTTTCTCAGGGAGTATATTTGGGTAACCCCTAGGCTCACTGGGCTCTGGCAAAATGGGGGCGGGAAAAAGGCCACCCTTTAAAGTGCCTCCCGTGGGGACCCTCTACTGGCTTCATAACTCAGGATCAGAGGAATTAAGTATTTTTCCCAATTTTGCCACACAGCTAGTCAGGGCTGAACTGGGTTGCATTTTATTTTATTTTAATTTCAAAACCTATGCTCTTTCTAGAATAAAAACCCCAACTTCTTTTTTATTTTTTTATTAATTTTTTAAATTTTTTACATCATTGTTCATTTTTAAACACTATTTACTTCCCCCACCCCCTCAGGTGTGGTCCCCAATAGAGTTTCCTTCCCCAAGGCCCCCGTGCACCATCACCTCAGTCCCCTGTGCTGCTCCCTCCCTCCCTCTGATCCCTCTCCCTCCTCCTCCCCTGCAGGATGTCTCTGCTTTATAATTGTCCATTTTTGCTTTGTTGTGTTTTGTACTGTTACTGTTTTTTTACACTGATGTCTTATTTGGTTCCCCTATATTCCTGCTGTAAGTGAAACCATCCGATATTCTTCTTTTTCCTTCTGGCTTATTTCACTGAGCATGATCCCTTCTAGCTCCATCCGTGTTGCTGTGAATGGCATGAGTTTATCTTTTTTGATTGCTGAATAATATTCCAGGTGTATGTATGCCACATCTTCTTGATCCAGTCATCTATTTTTGGGCATTTGGGTTGTTTCCAGGTTTTACCTATTGTCAATAGTGCTGCCATAATCATAGGGGCACAGGTGGTCTTTTGAATCAATGTTTTTGTGTCCTTTGTAAACCAACTTCTTACTATCACCCTGTGGCAGCCGTGAGAATGGCTCCTTTTATGGGGGTTGTAACTGACCAGCTCAGGGCAGCTCTGGCTCTGAAGTCACCCCCTTTGGCTGAGGCTGTGCCCACCCTCCACTCCCCCAGGACTGGACGTGTGGCTGGCATGCTAAGCCAGAGCTGTTCCTGGGAGACACAGGGGTTCTTTGTTCTTTGACTTTGGCTTAGGCTTTTCCCGATGGCTCTGCTGAAGCTTTCTTAGACGGCAGGGCTTCCCCAGACAACCTTCTCTCCCTCCCTCCTCCGAGTCACGCTGGCATTGCAGCCTGCAGGCTCTCTAGCCTTTGCCGGCCCCTTCTCCACTTCATTCACACAGTCACTTCTCCTAATGAAATCCTTGCACACTTCATCCCATCTTGGCGTCTGCTTCTGGGAGCACCAGACTAGCACCTCCCCGCAGGTCCCTTGAGCCCACTAGTATAGGAGGGGATGGTGGGCATCAGTCAAGCATGTCTGGTGATGGCCTGCCACTGGTCTGTGTCCCTGGGTGGGGACAG